ATTGTCAGAGAGGATAAAGTACTTTCATCTATGTGTTACTTAAACTAACACGCCTGTATCATATCAAACAATTAATTCAAATGATTTTACCTATACATTTTGATATACATTTCAATGATTTTGATTATACATTTTCAAATGTTCGTGTGCGTTCCGTTTCTTGTAACATGCAATGTTAAAGTGTTTTACAAATTTGTATACTGTACCTAGCTTTCATCATCGACATTTAAACCATGCATCTACAGAGGCGTCTTTGTAGACCTTATTTTGTGAATCCGTGAAATTCCAGAGGTCACACCCACTTACGTTCTCTTGAATATATCATGACGAATCAAAAGCAAGAATAAGCTATTTGATTGGTGTCACTTGAAAAAAATACCACTCGCTTGACTGATACCTGTCCTTTAAAGATTAAAGAGATACGACATCCGACTACATAGCCGGTTAATGTTACCATGACGGTGCCGTCCGATTCTTGTGATGTACATCAACAGATCAGAGTATTTTATTTGTATCATCTACAAGGTTTTTGATTTCGTCATGACGTATTCCAGAGTCAGGAAAGGTAGAAGAGCGTAACACCTAGATATAAGGAGTCCAAATTAGTTACACTACATGTAGATCATTGTGTTTTCCAAACTCTTTAATTAAACAGCATTTACTGACTAAAACATTCTAGAAAAAATAAAAATCTTTAAAAACAATAACGCAGTACACATATTTATTTAACAACTGTACTTGTTTTAGTACGTATGTAACGATTTTGTTAATTCAGTTTTCATCTGTATTAAGGCCTTTGTTAACATTTTTGTTACTTTTATGATTTCATCACTGTTTGCGTCACATCGAATTATTCAAGCTAACAAGAGTCCATGACTTGTTTGGTAAGCAGACCAGCACACAAATTGGTATTGAGGAAGTAGCATACAACAATTTTGTTCCAGCATAACATGGTGCAAAAAAAAAACCATACCCGTCTCTCTTTAAGGTCTACAGGTTTTATACATCGATATTTGTAGGGAGTACTGGATTGCGAATTAATTATACCTATGTACAGTTATTAAAAATAATACACGACGCACTATGATATGCAAAGCACATTATTCCAAAACAATAAAAAAGACAATTAAAAACACAAGAGAAAATTCAAAATCACAGATGTTATGTGTCTCAGACTTAAAAATGTTGTTTCTTAATAATAAATACACATAGACAACAACTTAATACCTATTATGTATACAAAAATATAAATTAAATATCTTTAAAAGACATTATGGCCCACTACAAGTATTTATGCATGCTTTCCTTGAATAACCAAACCGAATCATCCAAATGGTACATAAATAATCTCTCTCATTAAAATATTACTGCATAAATAATCAATATATGTATCGCATTTGATTGAGTTTAGTGATACACTGCTACATATAGTGATTGTTCCGTTCCAATGCTCTCCAGTCTTCATGATCTCCGTTACTGACTCTCGTCCATAGGCTCAGTAAAGCTCATTAGCTCAACACCGAGTGCTTTGAGAATCGGTTTAATTGGCGTTACGACCGCCGAACCATTTGACAAACATCCGATACCAAGTCCCAAACACCGAAGGTCATCTCCTCTTTTGACGAACACGCCTGAACCAGAATCACCTAGATCAAAGAAACGCCTGTTTGCCCTACAGCTACTGATCTCAAGCTGTCCTTGCATTTCAAAACGCCTCTCTGTCAATCCAGTAGGTCCGGATATTCCCAATGAAATGGGTTCTCTCACGTGAACAAGTGCTACATACACTCCTTTTGTTGCGTGTGTTATAGCTCCGAACTTTATTATCTCTTCATTCATTATCTCTGTTGGCTCTGCCTGTTCAGCAGAATCAAATACAGGAAATGTTCTGAAACCTGTAAAAGAAAGTATGTTGTTATTATATATAACAGTGCAATATTACAAGTTAAACATACTCTTATATGTGTAATACAGTATTCCACATTATCTGTACATAATTCATCGTCCACTGATTATTTTTCAGGAAAGTTTTTTTTATATTCTGACTATTTCACATTAGTAAAATATTACGTCTTTATTCAAGCTTGTTCATATTAAAAAAATCCGAGATACTGTGCGTGCTGTTTGCAAAATGAGACTGAGATATAACTGCCGTTCTTGTATAGGAATTAATGTTCTACATAGAAACGTGTTTCAGTATGTTTAAGTACATTAAGCAAATGCATAATGCATTCAATAAAACAAGGCATCACTTGTCTTCAATATGATTCATTAGTATGGAAATATGTAATGAGTGTTTTACTTAATACACACACGATGTACGTATTGAACGTGCCGCTGCGTTTTATGACCGACTGGTCCCTTTATCAAGCTATGCATGAGTGAGCGATTAGTATCGTTTACCTTTACAACGACGTGACGAAAATATGTCACGCGATGTTGGACGTTTGTGTATAAAGTAAAACTTTGATATTAAGGAAGCACTTAACTTTGTTTTTTTTATCATCAGCAAACAGACAAGTATAACTCATCGAAAACAAAGTTTACATATTCTAGAAATTATTACCTATTTCTCCGAGCTGGTTATGTCTGAAAAAAGCGAACTCTCCCCCTGACGGCATTCTGTCCTTCTGGACGACAACTACTGCGGCATCTACAGTCACACCATCCACTATTACACCAAATGTGCCGCGATATGTCCTACCGCACCTTGGATCATACGGGATGCTTGTTGAGGGCATGGGGAAGGTTTTCAGTGCAGGCTGGTTGACTTGCAGTTGAGTTGGAGTGTTGGTTTCATCATGGCTATAACTATCTTCTCCGTCCTCAATTCCATAAGCAACATGTGCGCATGTCAGAAATCCGTCGAGAACATCATCCTTTATGCTGTGTATTTTCACAAAAGGACCAATTGTTCCACCCCTCCTCTTTCCATCATCTTCAACGTCGATTTCGCAACCCATCTTTAGTTTGGGATGGAAATCTGAGCCCGGTATTGCTGAATAGGTACGTGGTGCGATTTCAAAAAATCCTTCACGTACATCTATCGAAACGGCAATACCATCAACTAAAAGCTGATGCGGAAATACATCTTCCTGTATTGGCCTAAATCCTTTTGAGCTACAATATATAACTACAAGGGTTGTTTCTGCTAGCTTCAAGTCTTTGCCTCCTTTTCTGGACCTCAAATGCGAGACTCCCAAGGCATTGATGTTCGAATGTGATTGCATCAGACGCGTGCCATGCATCTTAATTGCTTTCTCAGCATATTCCATGCCATTGATGTTGTTTGTGTTCAATGACCACCTTTCCGCACTATTTGCTATTCGAATTGCTTCATCGTTGACTTGTTTTGGGTTTCTATATAATACTGTCATCCCCGCAAACTGCTCCACTCTTCCACGAACAACGTTTAATCCATAAGCCAGGAATACCACTTCTCCTACACTGTTGAATGTTGGCTCAATTCGATAGGAACCTTGTAATTTCACTTTGTCCGCTAATCGCTGCTTTAGCTCCAAAGCAACTGCTTGTTTACAATGGTCATCCAACGGATACTGCGTAAGGCACTTACCAATATCATTCTCATCTTTCACGGAAGGTAGCAGTAAACTCATAATGTCAGCCTTGTTTAGCTCACACGTTATCTGAAGGAGAGTAGACCTGTCTTTAGAAGCAACAAGAGATGGATATGTATTACAGAGGTATGAATACATGTCTTGATTTCCAGAACGACAGGCCTTGTGAAGCATGGATTCCTTATCCGCATCTACAATATTCGCTATGTATTGTTGAAGCTCCTCTTCTCCTTTTACCTTAAGCAACAACGATTCTACAGCGATATAGCAATCCATATTGCCAGATTCAGCAATGCGAAGAAGGCACGGACCACTGTTCTGTGTTAACAAAGCTGGACATTTTTCATGAATTGTTAAACATTTGTCTTTGTCTCCCGATTCACAAGCGTCATACATGTCTTTTAAATCCCAGTTTCCTGACGAAACTTGCCCATGATCAACCGATGTAGATCCACTATCATCATCTTGACGTTTTGTGACTTTTTCCTGTTGAAATGAAATATCAAGGGATTTGTGATTATGGTGAACATATTCAACTTCTTTTTAAAAGTGTTAAAAATAAAAAGATACAAATTGAAGGCTGATTGGAGACATTGACTGATTGCAGTCATCCTCTTACACACTAAAGTGTACGTTAAAACACAAGTGCACTTTTGCAACATGTTATATGTTTTCTTTGTCATCGCCAATGACAATATACACTCAAATTGTTTGGTGTTTAACGTCCTTGAAACAGCTAAAGCACTATGACGACGAATACCCAGTGAGAAACTGGAAAGAAAGAGAAGGAATGAGAGGAGATAAATATAGATTCCAAGTATTGCAAGGGGGACATATCAATTGTGGTCCCTTCAATGACCCCAGGTAGAAGAAAACTTAGCATTCTGCAGGGGCCGATAGTCGCCTCTGACGACATAAATTTGGTACTGACGCTTTCGTTTATCGCGATCCAAATGGTTGGACCTGTTGGACAAAACTTAAGAGGTACCTAGTATTATGATGCTGCTTTCAGGGGAGCCTTGACAATGCTTTGCAAGTTTTGCAAAAACATTTATGGGTCCGTCAGAATATATAAATCCGAAATGTTTCATTTCAAAACAGACAAAAAAGGGCAGTGTATAAATGTACACTGATGTGTTTTGTGTACCGTCCTCCGAAGTACAGCGCGTATACTATTTCACAAGTTACGATTTTGCTGCCGAGCAAGTTACGGTCTGTCGAGTAAATCATTCATACCAGTGAAGTGCACTAACTCTGTGAAAATAGTTTTCTTTTCTTGTAAATGTTCAAGATCTCTATAAAAATGCATGTGTGGCCGTGCGTGAGAGCGGTATACAATACCATAGTTTCTGTTTACATGTGTCTTACATGTATAAATAAATCTTGCTCTAGCGGGCTGTGGTATGGTGTCCCATGTAAACATGATTGAAAATAATTTGGTTCCAAAAACAAACAATAAATTGTTTTAAATGTTGGCATTTGTTTTATCGACGAGACAATGTTTAAATACTAATTTTCAGTTTTTGATATATGTAAAGGGAGATCACTGTAATTGTAAAATGCTCCTGCAAAAGTTCTGATTATTTTCAAGGAAGACAACTCTCATCAGGATCAAATTGGTTGTGATATGTATAATAAAGCAATCATACAGTGATCGTATATATTTTGTTCTATCTTTCACTCTTTTTGTATTAAAATATATTTCATGTTTGCTTTAAGCTGGTAGATAATACCTCAAAACAAAAGTTGTTGGGTTAATTAGCAAGGATTTATTTTCTGTTTTATTGTTGTAATAGTTTAAACAATGTCACACATGCACAAACGGAAAGAATTTACATTGACTAAATCTTAATTATTTGGTATTTTCCCCAACATATTCCCAGTTTATTTGAATGCTTAGATTTTCATAAAATTATCTCTTCATATTTGCATTATCATTGTGTTTAAGTTTCAACGAACTCTGCTGCGAAAGTGTGGAGCCTTCAAAAGTAATATTAACTAAACTGTAGCGTACAAGGGAGGTACTAAGAAACTCAGATATCGTTTTGTTTGTATGAATTGAATCGATTAATTGTCACCGGGACTTCAACAGTATTTTTGCACGAGTGTGATGACCTATCATATGAGTATGAGTACCTTATAGGCTGAACCTGAAATGCATTCCAAATGATATTAACTTGGATCATTATTTATGTTTTCCAACCAAATGTTTATGTTCTCACACATTGTATACCTCGATGTATCTTCTGCTGATTAAGCAGTCATGAAATAAAGATATACAACAGACTGATTGTGTCTTACCTTCAACCTTCTCGTTTTCGCTGGAAAATATAAGAAAAAGTACAGTTATCAAAAGTTCCAGTTGAAGATTTCATTTGATAACAATGTAAACCGACGCATAATATGTTGTTGCTAAAATGAATTATTGATAATAATTTCTTACACATTAAAGAAAGTGGTTCAAATAACGGAACTTTGCTGGTTGAGAATGTTTTACTCATTTTCATGGTTTTATTTTTCAAAGATATCAAGCTGGTCGGGGTGATTAGAGACAATTACATATTTTGTCGCTCTAACATGAAAAAATACACCCATTATTATTTTTGTTAAATTTTAAATTGAATGGCCGATCTGTTGAAATAAATTGGGATACCTCCTCTTATCCTATGTAAATATGGTCCTTGCAATAATGAAATCGTTAAAACACAGGACCTATACAATAGTAATAATAATTCGTGTATGTCAAGTGCGTATCTATTATTATATTATATTACGGTAAAACATTTAAAAACAAACCACTAAAACGTGTTTGAAGAAATGACGCGTGGGCAGCAATATCTCCATGAAATTCATAATTGTGAAACATGCGTTAGTTACAGAACTGAAACCACCGTTTTCACGTTATAACTTGTCGAAGACACTCGATTGATCCAAATGAGAGAACTCGTTTAATATCAAACATCAATTAAAAAATTCATTTCAGTAATAATTACCGTAACTTTAGTATGCATAGACAATACCTACACGCATCTTTGTAGGTCAAACACAAAATATTCAAATATCCCGACCTCCCTACCGTGACGTAACCCATATCTCGACGACAGAGCCATGGAGTGATCTCCCTTCCTCTTCCTTTTATGGCACCTGCTGACGCCCGGAGCAAGGTCCATTTCAAAACATTGATTTGTTGATTTGGTTAGAGTGTCAACTCAATTTATTGCACAGTTTGTGTGCCTTATACCCATATGCCCTTATTAGTACAATTATTTATTGTTGAAAATTATTTTTTGTGCCTTTTTCGGCCGGCTATTTTACTCCACGTGTGCCAGTGGTGTGCCACGCGGTCCGCCATTATTGGGTGAAAAGTTCCGACCTCTGTTTATTTTAGTGACGGTTGTTAGTTTCGGCAAACGTTATTTATTTTAACTGTTTTCGGATTTAAATTACGGGTGAAATTCTTTCTACGTTGCGTTCTTTGTACTATCGTATTTTTTATTTTTTTCCCGTGTTTGTCTGCTAGTAACCTTTGTTTACTTTCGCTTTGGAGAGTATGTCTCGGTCGGGACAGCGACGGGGGACAGCTCATGGGTGTTCCCATTTCTTCGTGGAACGGGACCCTCATGATGCTTGTCCCCAGTGTCGTACTTACAGTGAGGTTTCGCCTTGTGAACTTTGTCCACAGACTAAATCTCAGGAAAGGACTTCATTGTTCCAAAGCTTCCCTTAACTTGCCGTCACAGAGATTCGTCTGCTTCTACCGGTAAGCGAGGGAAGCAGAATGGTAGGGATCGTGCCACCAGCACTCTGGGGTCTGGTTGTACTGTCTCTGGGGTGGCCCTTCCTGTTCAGGAACTCCCTGGAGTAGGGAAGGGGCAGCCCGACCCTGGTTTGGCACAGCCAAGGGTCGAATTGGCCGGGAACGCCCGTAAGGTTTCGCGATTGCCCTCGGGTAGGGACTACCGGCCGCCGGTCACTGACTCTGTCAGTGATCCCGGCATTCCAGGTGGTGCTGTCGTTGGGGACAGTCTTGGTGCCGGGCCTGTTCTTTCGGGTTCAGGTTCTGGTGTGACGACATACTTTCTTTCGGGATTGTCTGTGTCTACCGGGATTAGTGACGCGCATAACTTTATGGAGTCCCAGCCTGTATTCCTCCCATTGCCTCCTCATCCCGGCTGCCTTTAGGCTCCATAAAAGGGGTTTGAGGAAGGGAGATCACTCCGTGGCTCTGTCGTCGAGATATGGGTTACGTCAGGGTAGGGAGGTCGGGATATTTGAATCTTTCGGGGTTTTTTTGTCTACAGAGATGGGTGAAGGTATTGTCTATGAATACTAAAGTTATGGTAAGTATTACATCATGAACATTGGTTTTACTTTAAAAACCGCAAGTCATTAAGATATTTTTTTTTAAAGTTTACCAGATTGCTTGATTAGGATAAAATAAATAATTGTGATGGATTAAAACTCATAATGAAAAAAGATATATAAACATTTATCCCTTCTGCCCGGCTGAAACGGAACATGTAATATCACAATATGCCTAATGATATTTTATATAAAATATTGAATACTTTGGTATTTAAAGAATTCTTTCCTTGCCACTTAAATCCATTAAATTTTGAGATTTCAAATTATTCTATATATTTAAAACTGAATCTCGCTTCGATAATTATATAAAATACGTATATATTTGTTCAAATTGTAGTTCAAAATTAGTTTCAACTATATTTATTCAAGTAATTGAATACATGGCATGACCAATACAAATAACATAAACAAATATAATGAGGAAACAAGTACTGTGTACTAATATTAATCCTTCTCGTCTCTCTAATAAACTATGAATGACTAGTATTTGATAACACTAAAGGTACATGTTAACAAATGAAGAAAATAAAAATACGTGGTAAGAATCATATAACAATATATACATTGATGTTCCATTAAATAGTACGTAATCATATCACTATGAAAGCATTTAAGGGTCTTTAACTATTCCATTTAATCAACATTTAAATATTTGCTTTACTTAACCAAAACGTTAAGACTGGGCAATAAATGTTGATCTCTCTCGATTTCTTCTACATTTTGAGTCATTTTTGTCCCACTTATAGATTGTATCACGATCTGTATTATATATATATATATGCAACTGTATACGATACATCAACAATAAGTTATAACGACGTGTCATCAGCAATTTAGGGTATAATATTTGTTCGTGATGTATGATTGTGTTAACTGGATATAATAAAACAGATATCTAGATAAGCTACTTTAGTTGAAATAATCTTATTTCTACGGAAGATAGAAACTATTCGACATTTTGAGCTGTTTGTAGAACTGTTATTATGCACCGATTCTTAATATCAGAAAATGACGAAAACTAAACAAAGTAAAGCGTTCGTAATGCTAGTTTGTAAAATGCTGTACTAAAATATGTCTTAGGTGAATGTAATCATTTCATTTAAAGATGCAAATTTCAGTAAGTTATTGTTTTTAGCTGTATGACAAGCAGATGCAACAAAGATCAATACCGAAAACGTTTCATTGAGAAACGAAATATGTGACTCGTTCATAATTTCATAACGGTTGAAGCAGTTTGTTAACACTAAACCATACTAACAATAATATACATTCGCACGGAATGTTTATATAACAGTTAAAAACGAACAGGAATGTCTAACGCAATAAGAGCATTATTATGTTAAAAAGGTAAAATCAATGCAAGACACACAAAAAGAACCAGTATTATTTTGCTGTTTTACGATTTTGTAGAAACTGAATCTTA